TCAGTTGCCCAAGAAATTTCCAATGAAAATTTTACTGGAATTTATGCACAAACTTAGTGTCAAGTTTCAGAAAGAGTAGGTCTATATTTTTATATATCTAAGTAAATAACTGAAGCACTGTAATTGAAAATGAACAATCTCAGCATTCATAATTGAAAATTAATGTAAAAACTACTCAGCGGAAGTGCCTTTAACCTTTGCCAGCTTTTTTAAAATATGATCTTCACAAAGTTATTTCATCGGAAGACTCAATGCACTCTCTAAGTTGTAAGTATCGTCAAACACGGTCACATTATTGTAATTTTTAGGCATACTTTCGCTCTCGTCTTCCACTCCTGCGGTTTTCTTGACACTTTACCTATATCATTATATTAATTTCCTAGCAAATAACACCCTCCATTACTCTTTATGAGTGCGGCACAATTTAATTTAAACTCAATCGAGTTTTCACCTATCAAATCAAAGTGAAAAGCAATAAGAACAAATGTGCTTTGATTTTATTAAATTCATTTAGCACATTTTTCACCGTAAATAAAACATGAAAAGTCGCTTTAAGGTTGAGGAAAAAAAAAGATTTGTGGAGTAATCAGATAGGAAAGTAAGGATATGGAATGTATATGTGTATGTATCAATATATATATATATATGTTTGTATGTGTACCACTACATGTACATGTGAGTATCAGTATATGTGTTAATGGGTGTGTGTCACCTTTCTACTTTGCACTTCAACGGAACTTCAACTGCCTGCAATGAAGTTTCCCGTTAACTTTTCATTAATTTTTTTGCGATTTAATAAAACCTTACATAGTTGTTATTGTGATTTTCTTAACTTTGATTACAAACAAGCAAGTGCAAGTTCAGTGCCAGCATTGTAATCATTACAGTAAGTCTATTGTTTTTGCTGGCTTTTATGTTGCCGCTGGCGCTACAGCACAGCCCGGCCACACATACACACACCACTTTGCTACGTACTAAGATACGTCCTAAGCTGCATACTAGTGCTAGGTTGCTTCCTTTACTCCTCTCGCTTCTCTTGTTTCTGCCGTTTGGCTGCTTGCGGTTTTGTTTTGCCCGCAGGATAATGCGCATACAACTTCACTCAAGCGTCCTTACTTATCTCCGACGTTCCTTATTCAGTAGAGGCGTACAATATACTCAACATTTTCTATTGCGAACGCAGCAAGGTGCTCGGCTCGAATTCTTTACGCCTGTTTGTTCTGTTGCAACGAGCATTGTGTGACGACCGACAGCATTTGTATGCGCATATTTTATTCATCTTCGACCGCTTTATTTATATTTTTCTACATATTCACCTTAGATAAATGTGTAATATATACATTGGATTTGATTTGTTGCTTCTTCTTTGAATTTTTGTGCTTATTTCTGCTTTGCTTTGCTTAATTTCAACTATGCTGGGCATTAATAAATGATTTTAATGTTGGTAATTTTCGTGAATATTGCATTTGTTAGCGGGCTTCGTGTCTCTTTCTTCGGCGCTTCAGGTGTACGATCCAATGTACAAGTTCTATAACATACAAATACATATATATGGTACATACCTATATACTTATATACACAATTAAATGCTTTCATACCTAGAGAGCTTTACCAAGATTAAACGGTACTAGCTATAGGCATCTTAATAACTGAGAGCAGTTCGTCTGAGAAATGTATCAGCATTGTAGACAAATGTGTCACTCAGCGTTAGACTGATGACATCAAGGTATGTATTATATTTAATCTTAATGTCCTTGGGTCAGCAATTTTATCTTTAAGAGGTGTTGTCGTCTTACTTTATTTGCATTTATTAAAGTGCGAGTCGTAGGAGCTATAAATTTCTGCAATATTTTTGATATCGCTGCAACCTTTTCAAGCAATGATTTTGAGGTATTTGCGCTCACTTTTTTAACCGGTTCTGTTAACTATGGTATGTGTCAGTTTTCGACTACAATTGACGATTTTTAAATTGACGTTACTCATACGTCATGGTGTCTCCCTAAAGTATTTCAATGAAACTAACGCATTTTTTCGCAAAAATATAAGAACATATAAATTTTTATTTATCTTGTTTAAAAAAATATTGACTCGAAGAAGTACATATTGCAAGGGTATCTTTTGAAAATTATTACTATTGTAAAATTTGAGCACAAATTTTAAGTCACTTCGTATTAATAAATATAGCAGTTAATAAATCTAGGTATAAGTTAGCCCTAAAATAAATTTAGATCTAATTGCAAGCCTTTAAGACTAAGCAAAATATAGCTTATTGGCAATTATCTCTTAGTTGTCTTGCCCACCTGCCTAAAAATAGTTCACTGAATGTTATAAAAAAAGTTCAGCTGAAGGATATAATATTTACAATTATTTTCCAGCCAATTCGTTTACAATATACACATATCTTCTTGAGAATTCTAAAGTGACTAAAATGCATGTTGGGTATTCACAGACCACTCTCACAACTCACCATTCCTTCAAGCAGAGCTCTATTCGAAGATTAGATGTATAATAAATATAAATTATTCTACAACAGTCCATAGTATTGAATGATTCATACTATAATATTAAAGGACAAATGTTGATTCAGAAGTTCTGTTAAAAATCTTCTATTTTATCCATATATCATCGACAGAATTTATTTAATGAAAGGAAACTACTAGATAGTACAAACTAAATTTAATCTATAAAAATAGTTCTGATGTTCTCGAGTTGCTTTCTACAAAAGTTTATAAGTCGACATGTTTATATTTTAATTTAACTTTCACGATAACTATTCGCGAAGAATAAGCATAAAATTGGAAGGTCTTATTTGGATGCTCTCTTTTGTTACAGCTTGGCTATCATCTAGTGAGAGTGAATATTAACTTAAAATGCAATAATTTCATAAGAGATATAGCGAGACAGTCTAGGTTAGCATATATCTGTTTTTTTTTTTTTTTTGTAGATGCAGAAAATAGCTCTAAAGTAATTTGCAGAAATGCTGTCGAGTTGACGGTCCTTGCCCGGATAGAAATCTGGGTCCGTTCTGGTTATATAGACCTGAATGTAGTTATCTAGTCTTGTGATTATCTCCTACTAGCCTAAAATGGCTTTATCAAAGGTATGGACTTGTATATAATAATACAAACCTATTAAGATCAAACAATGACGCACTTTGACCCTTAATTTATGCTGAGGGCACATCTAAGAAAACTAGTTAGATGACTATGGATTGTATATATGCTATATACATACTTGTATGTATATGTACTTATATGGTATATTTATATCCAGTAAATGGCAATTGCACAAGCTGCTTGCTTTTTACTTATAATAAGCTGTTCTAGTGCTTTGTATAGCTGTTATACAACAAAGAAGCTGGCAGATGTGCCTTCCTGCCGTCACAAGCACGTAAATCCAAAGGTTGTCAGTATTTATATTTTCACTTTCGTTTTTGACATTTAAAAACACATTGGCATGCGAAATCTTCTATTGTGTCGTTTTTACCTTTGTGTCATCCTGTGGGGATATAGACATATACAATACATACATATGTATATATACACATATCTGTAGAAGTACATATGTCAGTATTGCCTGTATCGAATGCTGTCAATTTTATTTATCCTGCTCTTTGCTCTGCATCTCAATTGATTGTCAAAAGTGCATAGACCAACACATCACTCTCATTAAAATTAATATCATTATGTTTGTTTTGTTTTGACTTTCGATCGACCATTATAAAGCTGCTAGCATATCTCTCATTATCATGTTCTCAGAATACCAACTGGAGCACCAGCTGTATCATATAGTTGTTCGCAAAATTATTGGAGTATATGCAAGTATATGTGAGTATTTACCAAGGTAATACTTGTAAGTTTGTATGTATTGACAGCCATTTCCATAATAAACGTGTCCGATTTACGACAGTTGTCTTTGTCAATAGAACACATCACTGAGCAAATAAAACACAATAAACATTACTTGTTGTTGGTGTTTTTGGAAAATTCATTTGAAATACGGGCTGCTGTTGTTGGTATTGTTATTGGGCACTGTAACTATTTTCTGTGATTCAATGAGCACATGCCTGTATGTTAAATTGACAACTTATTTCATCGGACGCCACTAAAGCTACAACAGTTAGACGACCCTACTATCGCCTGTCTCTTCTATGTGTCATCGACCAAATGAAATTTTAATACATATGTACCTTATATAATAATAAGGTATATATGTAATATTTATATTTGTAGGTAGATTCGATATATTTTGCATTCATGCTAATTCGTTTCTAAAGTTTTTTAACATTAAATTTTATTTTATTTTATATACAATGGTTTCCAAGAAATATCACTGACTATGACAATTCTTATAAAAATTGTGTCAATCATTAGAATTTCTCTCCAATTTGCATAGATGTCGGCTTTTGAATATATATGCCGGCAATTCAAACCAACAAATTATATGCCTCTTTAATTGGTGAACACTAGAGCTGATAAATTTCCCTCTTCACTTGCCACCTCCAGCCAAAATAATGTAAATGCCAATAACTTTGATCTCAATATTCTGTTTGCTTACGGGTATATATATACACATATACATATATATATATATATATTATATATATATGCGCAGCAATTTCTCTCTCCACAATTCCAGAAATCAATAGTGAGAGGTGTTATACATTACACAATACATTTTGTAGTATTGATTGAATGCTCAAAACCTGCCAGACTCATTAAATATTTTATTTAAAATTTTTTAAACACCAAGATAACGGTACAAACTTCGAAGAAATTGTTCAGATTGGACCGCTATAGCATATAGCTGTCATTTAAAGGATCGATCAAAAACAAGTTCTTGTATGGAATTTTTTTATTTCAGACGGGTTTTATAGTTAGCTTCGGTGCAATCGAAGTTAATGTTTTTCTTGTTTTTATTTCCTTTTGTGAAATATAATATTAATATTATTATAATTATGAATTTGAAAATTAATTAAATATTTTATTGTCTATTTGTAGATATATTTATACAAACTGCGTACGTTCACCACAACCTCGACTAATTTTGTTAAATATTCTCTAGCAGAATACTAAGTGAAAAACATTGATAAACTTTGGTAAGTGAATTCGAAATTTTAAATTTACAATTCTAAATTTATAAGTTATAAATTATATTTTAATTATTTTCACTTTTGACTTAAACGATTTATGCTTACTCTCGGATAATTAACCGAGCTTTTTACAGCTTACCAAATTTTTTAAAAAAGGTCCTAACAAGCTTTTAATCGGGCAATAGATCCAAGAACTAAAATCGGAATATCAAATTTATACTTCATTTTATTTGACTGACCACCAACAGCAGTAGCCAAAGTTTTTTCACAGGCTATTTCACAACTGTTGAATATTCTTGTTAAACAATGAACTCTTCTGTATAGAAAATTTACATGTGTCATATTAAGATTTTAATAATTTGCGAGAGAAATATTATATTTCAGACAATTTTTTAGTCAGTTGAAGCTCAAAGTTCCGCCAAAAAGTTAAACAATTTTACGTTATCTCTTAGTAATTTCCCCCTTGCATTTGTATACCATAAAAATAATAACTTACAAAATTATTCCCCTCTTTCTTAATAAATGTATAAATATTTACATTGACCTTAAAATGTAACTGTAATTGTTTTCACTACGCGCCATCTGGCGCACGCAAGCAAACACTCGTAATAATTGTGGCTACAAATATAATGACCCGCCATGAATATATTTGTATTTACTGTAGTCTGAATGCAATTTCTTAATTTTCATGGTGGGCATATTAATATATGTACATAAATTAGAAACAAACAGCTTCTGCATTCCGGAATTGGAGATTGTCAGAGCGTTAAGATGGCTTTATGTGTCAACGACTTCTTGATTCAACATTGTATTTCAAAAAAATTGAAATTATTAAAGTTATTGTTGTGATTCGTAAGTTCCAAGTTATAAAAAAAAAAATATTTCAAAGATAGTACGATTCGCATAAGAATAGGGACAGGCGAATAAGTATAGGCAAGTTACTATGAGGTTATACAAAACCACACTGACTTAGGCTTACTTAAACCTTGTAAATTTAAGAAATAAAGAAAAAAAGTTCTAATAAATTATTTCATCACACCTAGGAAATAATGTCATTGTTGTTTAACATCAGCGATTTATTTTTTACTACTGATAGAGATTTTGTTGAGGAAACATAGTTACCTTGCCACTCTTGCTAATAACTCTCATCCCTAAACTGAGATAGTATATTTTCACAAGCTTATCTTGAGGCGAATTTTTCACAAGCAACATTTTTCGTCCTATGCAAGAGCAGGTAATAATCAGTTGATGACAGGTTCGGACTATAAGATGGATGCTTAGAAACCTCCTAAACAAGCTCCAAGAACTTCTGGCGAGCCACTATCAATGTATGTAGCCTGGCGTTGTTCTAATGGAACTGATGGATCAGACAATTCCACCAAACTCCTCGCAAAACCTTCTTGAATGTCAATCCTCACTTGGCGACGTTTTGCGCCGTCTCACCGCGACAGTTTTGGCTTGCGGTTCTCAGAAATTACCCCCATTTTTTTTAACGGTAACCATCCGCTTTAGAAATTGATAGATTTTTTTGCGATTCGCATGTGGAAATCCGTAAAGTATTCTCATTCAGTACATACCAAATTAATGGTTTTGAGTTAAATTATAGAGATGTTTTTACAAAAAGATTAAGAGAAAGACAGATGGATATACAGATGGAGATAGTTATTTATAGCATGAACTTAAATTTTATCTAACCTTGACCGAAGCCGAAGAGAGTGGAAAAACACCTTTGTGTAAGAGTCCATAGCACAAAAACACAAACAAGCACATCCTAATAATGCGAAGACCAATAAAGTCTCCACTCATATTTTTCTCAAAATTGTATCCAATGTCAGGGCTTAAAGCATTTACAATTGTGCAAAGCGTAATATGAATCCCGATTACTTTTTAATTCGGAATAAACAATTGCAAATTATATACACAAACTTTTCAACAAAATTTTAAATCAAACATTTTGAAACAAAATATACTCGTACATGTATGTATATCGCCAAATGATCTTATAAACGTGTATATGTACAAATACGAGTATACAAACACATATGTACATATATCATGTGCCATAATGAAATTCAGTCCGAATTGTTTATTGGCAAGGGGCATCTGCACTTGCGAGTTATTTTATGCACTTCAATGCAAATTAAATTCGTTCGAATTTTAAATAACAAATATAAGTGCGTATGTATGTATGCATTAATGTAGTGCTTGACTTTGTTGCAATTCACATTTCGGCTACAATTGTTGCGAAACAAATATTTATCTGCACGCGCAAGACACAAGCACACTAACACATTCATACATGCAACTTGAAGAGTTCTTAAGGAAATTGTTTGTTGTATTTATTTTCGTATGCCAGCGTCAAAGTGCTCCTCCCGTATAAATATTAACCTCATTAATTTTCTTTATTTATTTTTGTTAATTTAATTTGCTTTCGGTTTTTCTTTGATTATCTGACGGCAAGGAATTTATAAACCGATTGACGGATATCGGAAATCGGGTCTCACAATTGCATTTGTAGCAAAGACTAAATTTTGAAGCAGCCTGTTAGTAATTCAGGTACAGTACATATATTTTCTGAAAATGTTAAGTTTTTTAAGTTGTAGGTAAATAGCTGTCAACTCATATTTAGTCGAATATAACCTCAAAGCCAAGAACGAGCACAAATTGTCAAGCTTCTTTACTTATAATCCTTAACCTAAATCTTTTGTTGGCATTTATAGTTCAGTTACAAAATATTTTAGTTCTGCTACACTCTCAAAAAAATTTAATAACAAAGATTAAAACATTAATGGATACCAATCTTTACGGAACTATCTTCATCAGCGAGTTTTCGGCTTACTTGGTTGAAATCAAAGAAAATACTTTTTAAAAAAGCTAAACGACATACATATAGTGAAAGAGCTTTTGTTGTGGTTTTGTTTTTCGAAATTAATAAAATTATGATGTATTATTATCGCAGGTTTTAAGGAAGATCTCAATATCGATTTGAAAGAGCTTAATTTAATTCATTGAAAAGTCAGATCAGCATCTTATTTAAGCTTTTCTATAGTCTAGAAACTGAATGGACTAAGAATGAGAAATTCATAACGCCCACACTCTACTTGGCTTAAGGCTTTTTGCTTTCTTTACCGTAAATAATTTTGACGAATGTCGCCGATTTGTCAGTTACCTAGGCATCTGGTGTGAAAGCAAGTTTTTATTACCGTCATTCTGATTGCTTTATCGGAAGTATATTTCCAACAAATTTTACCTGTAATTTGAGATTTGCGTCTAAAAGTTATCCGACATATGCCAGAGATTAAAGGGTTTTTTTCGGCATGTGGTTTTCAATAAGAAATGAGACGCATATAATTTAATGTTATAGCCAAGAATTAAGCTTAATAATCCATACAAGTTTATCATTATGTTTTAAAATAATTTAGTGCAAATGACCGCCGCGACTGGCTCGAATAAATACCAAGCGAGAGGCCCACTTTTCAAAAAAATATTCCTTCTATAAATTGATTGTTTAGTTGCTGTATGTTATCTATAGCGTTCCCCATTCCATATTATAACCGGCTTCATTTTTAAAGAAATACTTGTATAGACCAATGATTTCCTCTGTCTATCAACCAAAAGTTAGCTTCATGGTTGAACAAAATATCTTGTGTAAACCGCAATCGGTGGACATCTCGTTTTAGGCGTCATAGCGTCTTCGGTACTCATGTATGGCGTCTCTGAGCTTTATCTACTAGAGTGAACGTGGTGCGATAAAAAGAAAAAAATACGTGTTTGAACTAAGACTCGAACTAAGATTAAATTAAACAGGTATTGGCTCGAAAAAAAAATAAAGTGAAAACTTTCAAATCTGTATCACCAAAACTATTACTGTTATCAACTTGAGAATTTAGCACAATATTCTAAAGATATTATACCATTATATTATATGAGACAATAAACCTTTATTTTTTTTTTTATAGCCGTGAAACCCATGTAACCCCTTAAGTCAAAAGCAATGCCGTCTATAATACGACTATTCCAAACATACATATATACATACACATGCACATACCTGCATACATATGGTATATTGAGGCTATGACACGCGCACACTAACAAAAATAAATCGAATTTTCGCTTATTTCCATTTGTCTTCTTCAACTATGGACTCGTTTTAATTTCGATCATATTTTTCGAAATATCGCTGCCAATTTTTAATTGATTTATTTGCGTTGCTTTGTATGTGTGTATATAAAGTTATTTGTATTTGAAATAAGTTCAGTGAATGCTAATTTAAAAGGGTTAGAAGATTTTATTTTTTATTATTTAAATATTTATTTTTTTTTAAGATATTGTTATAAATAACCCGAATTTGAAACAGTGAGTTTTTAAAAAGTAAATCTACCGCAAAGTTTTTGAGAAGAGGAAAGTAGGCAGAGTTTAGTCTTACACAAATATTTATACAAAAAAAAAAAACCTAGGTGAATTTAATTATTTCAAACATGAAAATTTTCCATAACGCTCGCAGATAAAGCCCATTGAATTTTAACTTTAAGTCTACACATTTATGCTTGCTACTTTTTCGTTACTTACTTTATTACTCGAGCACATTTCTAGCATCTTAAATTTAACTACTCTCACACACATGTAGTAAATATTTTGGTAGATGTGGCGCTCAAATGTTGCCTTACGGCGTCGGCACTTGCTGTTTATGTATGTATGTATGTACTATATATATATGTATGTAAATTTTATTATAATTTATGCTTGTTTACATGCTTTATCTTCCACATTGCCGAATTGTTTCTGCATATCTTAAAATGTCTGCTTGTGTTTTTGTGCGTTCGTTAGCAAATATAAAAGAAGACAGCAAAAAACTTTTGCTGTTTATCTCGTTTATCTTTCATGAGTGTCGCAATGCCAAAGAGCAGCTCATCATTTTGCGATTATGCTTATAAATTTATATATAATGTATAAATATGCATATTTACCTGGAAGCAAATCTACATGATGTGCTTTTTGCTGAT